ATGAGAAAAAGAGAAAAGCTGCTTCACAGAATTAACTTTGGAAGCTTTTTAAGAAAAATTAAATACAGAAATTGCTTCACAGATGAAGAAACTCATTAATCTTCGGGACAGAAGACCAACTTTTGGTCAAAATATATTATCTAACATGAAAATTGATACTTGATATGTGCAGTTTCAATATGCAGAACAACAAAATTAAAACAGAGGGAGGTTTTATGTTGAACTTACCGATTGCATGCATGGTCTGGTTGTTCAAGATATCCAGCTTTCGCATTCTCTCTGCGTAGCTCTTGTAAACCTTCTGAAGCTCCGCCATTTGATCTTTGTATTCAAGCTTTTCCTCAATCATCAGCGGCTTTAGCTTTAGATTCTCCACCATCTTTGTGCACTCAGTTTCTTCTTCTAAAATTGTGGGAAGCCCCCTGTTTCTCACATTTCTCATTTCCATTTTCAGCTGTTCAATTATATCCTCATGCTCCCATGGCAACTCATCCTCATTTTCGTCATTCGAATTCGATCCAGATTTTCCCTCCTGAGAGCCAATTTCTTCTGCAGATTGTTCTGTACAATTTCTGGGTTTTGTCTCCTCATTTTGCAATAATTTATCCTCATCTTCATGTTGGTCCTCCACTTCCTCTTCCAAGACACTAGAACTTTGGATTTGGGGTTCTGATAATTCAATATATTCATCATCAGAAGATTCAGAACTATCCTGTTGTTGATCTGTAAAAACAACTCCTTTTCCATATGGGATACTGAAATCATGCAATTGGAAGCCTTCCATATTCATTTTTACGTTCTGACTATCTTCCTTAATGACCGCAAGGCCTTGAGGTTGCAATCCCTCGCTCACATTTCTGCCCACCAGAAACTCATAAGTAATTGAACCCACATCATCTGATGGATCATGCTTCCCAAAACTTGTATTTTCTGGATGCTCTACCGTCCTAGAAAGCTCACTCTCAGCAACGAAAAGCTTCCCAAAACTAAAACTATCAAAAGTGTGCTCTACTGTCTCAGAAGAATTATGACCAGTGACAGTTTTCTCTAAAACCTCTCCAACGCAAACAGAACTAGCAGAGTCCTCTGTTTTTTCCTTAGCAGCAATAGTCTCTGTTTTTTCCTCTGTTTTTTCTTGATCATCAACATCCTCTGTTTTCTCTTGATCACCAACAGCCTCTGTTTCTTCTAGTTCATCAACATCCTCTGTTTCTTCTTGAACATCAACAGCTTTTGTTTTTACTTGACCATCAAAATTCTCTGTTTTTGACTCTGCTTTTTCTTCATCAGCAGCCTCTGCTCCTTTATCAAGAATTTGAGTATCATATACATTTGAATTGCTCCATCCCACATAAAATTCTTGGACAACAAAGCTCATGGATTTTGGTTCTTCCATGTAGCCATTGATATCTTTGCCGGACCTGAACTCGTAAAGATCGGTACTTGCAGCCGAAACTGTCTCCACAAAACCAATATTCTCCGTTTCTTCTTCTTCTCTGTTTTTATCTTCACTTTTGCTATCAGAATACCGAAAACACTCCTCTTCTTCTCTGAATACATCAATGTCTGAAATCGAGGACCCCTTTGAACCCACTTGATCATCCCGTTGCAAACAAGGAACACGGTTTTGATATCTCTGTTCATCTGCCTGAAATCTGCAAAAGAAAGAAACCAACCATCATCTACCTCAAAACAATGAAAAACTTGAATATTCCATTGGAGAAATCACAGACTTGAACATACCTGAGTATATATCTGCTTATGAACCCAAAAAGAAAGAACGAGTAGCTGCAACACAAGACCCACATAGAACCAACGACCCCAACCATGTTTCCGTACAAGGACTTGCTTCGGAGACGTTGTGCAATAAAGTCGAATTGGGTTTTGAGCACGATGAATTTGTAGGTAACCATCATTTCAATCAACCTCGGGGTTTTTTTTCTAATTTTTGGCAGTTGTAAGCAAAGTCAGGGGAGAAGAAGGAGGACGCTTGGAATTTTTCTCCATCGATCGGAATTCATTCGGGGATAGTGGAGTCTCCACTTGCAGACAGCGAAACTTGAGGAGGGAGTGAAAACTCGAAAGACAACATTTTTTAAGGGAGACAAATATGTGCGAGATTGTTGGAGGAGATTGAGCTCAATTCTATTGTTTGTCAATTGTGCAGTGAAAGAGAGAAAGATACGTGGAATAATTATGATAGATACTAATAAATACAATTAATAAATTTAGATGGAATGGAATTTATTTTGTTGGGTCGGTTTGATTTCTGAAAGCAGCAGCAGCAACAGTTAAAGGAGTTTCCATTTGAGTGTTTTGTAAAGGTTGGACTGGGAAGACCAACACGTTTCCCGAGTGAAGGGTTGAGGAGGAGAGTCAAGGTAAGACTTGAGGTCTACTAAACGCCACCTTCGGGTTTGGGCGAAGGGAAATGCTATAGCCTACTAGCTTTATAGGGGTTAAAGCAAATCAAATTTTAATACGAGTTATGCCAGTTGATCAAGATAATGTATCAGTTATCGTTAACTAATTATGGTTTGATGGGTTTAATTTTTGAGATTCTTATAGCAGACAGATTCAATCACACATCCAATGGTAATTAGTGTGGTGCTGAGTACAAATATTCTCTTTATATATGATCCATTTCTCTTTAGATTAAAATACTTTTCTAAAAAAAGTTAAAATATTGTTTTGTCAAAAAAATAAATAAATTACACGCGTAATCATTATTAAAATTTTCCAAATATATGTGATTAAGAAATAATAGTATAAACCTACGAATGTAACTGACGTCCATGAAATTATACTTTTGACAACTAAATTGTAAAGTCATTAATCACCTTCATATTATTTGTATATATAATGACTCCGGTCTAGGTTTTAATTTCAAATTGAATCAGTTTCAGTTTATACCCTAGATTTTTAATTCTTAATTAAATTTGTTTCAGTTTTTTTCTTTGTGTGCCAAACGATAAGAAAAAATTAGTTTCAGTTTAGGGCAATGCAAATTTAGAAAGGTTTTATTTCGGTCTCTATGTTTTAGAAGCGTAACAACCAAAGAGAAATTGGTCCACTTTTTTTATATTTTACAAACAAAAAAAAAGGTTGAAATAAAAATGGTAGACAAATATAAACAATTTGACAATTCAATTTGTAAGTGGTGCATTATGAAGCCATTTTTACTTAAAAAACTCATTCTCTCTTTGCCAAAACTCACCATCCCATTTTATCAGAAAAATGTAATTGCAAAATGTTAGATTACAATTTTGTTGGGAATTTATGTTAAAATTCTGAAATGTATTTTTTGTATCACATTTTTGTTAAGAGTTTGGTGTCACAATTTTTTTTTAATACAAGCGATTGTCTAGACTATATGAGAGATTTTTTCACACACACAACTAAAAAGTCATGGGGGTTCGAACATGAGACATTATCTGCATGTTAAAGCCCTTTTTCATTAGGCTAGACCCAATTGGAGAATTTTTATATTACATTGGCACTACTCTTATTAGTGCGCTTCCATGAATAGACAAAAATAGTAAAACCCATTGAAGCAATTGCATGCTCAATATATCAGCCGGCCATTATAGATTATAATATGGTGAAGTATTTTTTTTTATTTTTCGTAATATAATATTTAAATTTAAAACTTAAAAATAAGTCAACAAATTTTCTAATTTTGGATAACAAATGAGTCAACAATTGGGCGTCATGAATTAAAAATTTGCGGATTGGTGGCATGTCTTTAGCTTGCTTTCATAACTAAGAGGGGGCAGGTTGATGCGAAGGAGAATGTGACCCTAGACTTGTAATAAAATGTATATTTAAGATTTTACGTGAAAAGACAACGAAAGGAAAGCGAAAACTATTTGTTTAGCAAATATAGCCGCTAATTAAACTAGATTATATAATATTGTTCGTCTTTTGATTATTAGACTTGCAAAATTATCATTCTTGTTTTGAATTCAATTATCATAATTGAATACCCCCTCACTTAATGGATGGTTTTGGCCGGCTGTGGGTGTCATTATCAAACAATTAACATGTCGTTATAGGTAAGATGAGATGGGCAGACATTGACCAAAAAAGAAAATAAAAAAACTAGACCAATACTAATACTGATATCTCTTAGAAAGTTATCGTGTTGCATTCACTCCCTATTTTCAAGTATTGCTAGTAAAATTCATTTGAAATAGAATTATGCCAACTCAAAGTACAATTTAACCATGAGATGTGGTGTGGTGGTAGCTCATCTCATTCCTTAACCATGAAGTTGGGGGTTCGATCCCCGCCCATAGGAATGGAGCGTATTTTGTGGCCAGCCGTTTACCTCCATTGGGAGAGCTCCCGCAGCGAAATGATTAGTCACTGCTGTCGGCGGTGGATACCCTTGGATCTCACCTAAAAAAAGAGTACAATTTAGTAAAACTATTTTACCGTTTTGGTAGCGTGATGCACATGAATGGTGCAAAGTCAATCAGAAAAATCTAAGATGCCATGGTAGGAGGTGAGTGGTGATGACATTTGGGGGCGGTGGGAGGGTGTGGTTGGAAGGATTTGGTGAATGACTTTTTTTGTTTTTGTTGTGTTATTCGATCCTCACTCAGCTTTCATTTCATACATGCTTTTAATTTTAAACAAGAGATTTAGTTTAATACGGAAAGAAGAAATGTGCACCACGAAAAAGCCACAAAAGGTTGCATCGCATCGCATGCTTCATATTTTTATGTCATTTTATTAATTTTATTTTTTATCAAATTCATTTCATTTATTTATTCAACCCAACGATGCTTCGTCGGCATCATTTTAGTGGGCCTTTCCCAGCCCAATAATTTATAATAATGGGCCTGATATCCGCTCTAACTCAAAGTTAGTAGAAACGACGTCGTAAACCGGTACAATCACACAAGTCACTTAGCCCACTTCGACAGCCTCGTATGCGTGGAAATTAAAATCTGGATCGTCCATCAGATCAGAGACAGTTTAGCAAAGATCTAATAAGGGCCCTCCGATCTTAAGCAGTAAGTTAATAATGATTCATATAAAGCCTCCTCTTCGACAAAACCCTAGACTGAGTGATAGCTGAAAATCGAGCAAAAATGGTGCAGCGTCTCACATATCGTACCCGGCACAGCTATGCCACCAAATCCAACCAACACAGGATCGTCAAAACCCCCGGTAAATTTAAATATTTTTTATTGTAACTTGTAAGCCCTAAATGTTGTTTGCTTCATTTCTGGCTCATATTTGTGTGTAACTGCAAATGAATGGTGGATTAAGATGGTGTTTTGATTTGTGGGTTCTTCTTTATTTGTGTTAATTCAATTGTTTGTGCTGTTTCTGATGGTTGTTTTTTATGTTTAGGAGGGAAGCTAGTGTACCAGACCACTAAGAAGAGGGCGAGTGGACCCAAGTGCCCTGTCACTGGCAAGAGGATTCAAGGGGTACGTCTTATTTCTGTTGAAAAAATTTGTGTTGCCTTCATAGTTTTTATATTCTAGTTTCATCTCCATTGTAGTTTAGTGGGTGCCCAATATGTTTTCTAATTTGCATCTGAAAATGGTTACAATTTAACTCTTTCAATTTGCACAATCCGGATTCATTTGAATTTTTAAAGTACTACCATGCCAGTTCAGTAGTGTGTCTCTGTGTGTGGAAGGAATGGAATGGTTCAAGTTCCACTTAACCCATTCATTTGAGTTCTTAGTTGCAAACAATTTCTGCGTGGAGCACGATATGTGGGTAATGATTGCTTGTGAGCGCATTCTCAGGGGTGATACATTGTTGTCTTTGCTTGTAGATCCCTCACTTGAGACCTGCTGAATATAAGAGGTCTAGATTATCTAGGAATCGGAGGACTGTTAACCGTGCTTATGGTGGCGTATTGTCTGGAGCTGCTGTCAAGGAAAGGTTTGTATATGGATTCCAGTTTGACCTTTTCTTTTCCAATTCTAATGTTATGTTGCATGGATTGGGTTTAGACAACTCGTTTTCTGTTGGTTTACAGGATCATCAGGGCCTTTTTGATTGAAGAACAAAAGATTGTGAAAAAGGTGTTGAAGATTCAGAAGGCAAAGGAAAAGCAAGCCTCAAAGAGCTAGATTTCAAAATCGAGTGAGTGTTACATAGCTACTAGAGTGATTTTGGCTTGTCGTGGGCTATGGGAAGTAATTTGAGTTGTTTCAGTTTGTACTTTTTACATTTTGTTGTGGATGGTTTAATTATGATGTTAAGTACTTAATTTTGTTCAGAAATCCACTCTTACCATGGATTTTCCCTGTTTTGTATTTCAGTGGTAACATATACATTTTCCAATTGTTTGTGTAATGTCAGTTTAGTAGCTTTATTTATGACTCCAGTTATGTGTGGATCTTTTCCAAACCTTTCATGTAGTTGATTGTTTTTCATTGCAAGACTGGAACTTTCTTTAGTTTGAGTGCTCTAATGTGTAGACTGGATCTTAGACGAGCGTAACCTAAGATCGCAATTATTCAAATTCCAATAGGAAAAAAGAGAGGAAAAAACCTTAAAATCTGCCAATTTATTCGTATCACTAAAAGATCAAGCCTTTTCTCTTATGCCTGTGAGGACCAAAAGATCAAGCTTGAAGATGCTTCAGCCTTGCGACCAGTTTGTCATGAGGTGGGAGAGTCTCCCTTATCAGAGGATGGCCTTTGAGATCATGCACCCATGAAAAGAATGCAGGGTTCTTTTCAGGTATAAGAACGGTAGTGACAGCCTCATGAAAAGCCTCATAGGTGCAAGCATATGAGCTCACCACAATACCCAGAAAGCTCAAGGAACCATCAATGAAGAAGGGGGGATCCTCTTCAAAATCCCTCTTCATCCCTTCTTCAAAGATCTTAACCAATTCGCTCAAGTCTTCGATGGCCTTCTCTCTGTCTTTCCCTTTGGATCTTATAATACTGTATATTCCTGGTATGATCTGATAAAAATGAAATAAGATTGTTTTGTTAGTGGTTAGCAACTAAAGTACGACTATGACAATAAAAGGTAGCTTGCTTGCTTGCCTTCTCATCATAATATTTTGCCCAAAAGCGAATTTTGGCTCTTTCATATGGATCTTTAGGCAGCAGATTGGGGGTTTTGCTCCAGTTCTCATCAATGTATTCGAGGATGACGCGTGATTCTGCTATCGGCTTGCCTCTGTGAACAAGAACAGGTACCTGTTTGTGGACAGGATTGTAGCTGAGCAGCATTTGGCTCTTGTTTACTAAATCTTCCTCAACATACTCATACTGGATGCCCTTAAGTTTCAGGGCTATCTTGACTCTACCACTGAAAGAACTAGCCCAAGTCCCAAAGAGCACAACCTCAGATTGCTTGTGCTCCATTCCTCTCTCTCTCTCTCTCTCTCTCTCTCTCTCTCTCTCTCTCTCTCTCTCTCTGAATTGGTGCATACATGTGCAGTGTGCTGAGAAGTTTATATGGAGTTGGATCTTATTAAAAGTGTGAGCCAACTGAATTCTGTCTACATAGATGCAATTTCCTAGCCTACGCGTAATTTCAACTACCGGAAAGTCTTTCTCACTACATGATATCCTCGACTCGGCTAAACTAATGGCAAGACCTGAGAATATGACTCAGTAAGTTTATAGCCACTTGATCTGTTTTTCATTCACTAATAAATCAGATATCTTATTGCATTGGCATGCATCATGTCATATGGAAGCATTCTAATATCTTTCGCTTAATTCAGTAAGCCAATGCTGTTAATTTTGTCAATGGATTAGAAAGATATGAACAAGAATCTCATGCATGCTCCGTGGATTTCCTTCATCATCTGTATGTTCATTTGATTTTTTATGTCTTTGGGCCTTTACACTTTTTTGGACTTAAACAACTTTATCAAACCCCGTTTTACACCCAAGCGCCATTTCATTGGGCCAATCTTAGCATCACATCTCCTTCTCCATATTCTGACTGACAACTTCGATGAATAATTTTGGACATCGGCCCAGCTTCAATAGAGTACAAGTACAAGTTTATTTATTTTCTCCCCAAAAGAAATAACCATGAAAATAAAAATAAAAGACCCCAAACCTTTGTTGTTAATTATTTTGATCAGCAAAAGGACCTACTAGTGTAGTGGTTTGGAGCAATGATCCTCAAAGAAAGATCCCGGTTTCAAGTTCTAGCATGTATATAGTGTGTGTGAGTTTAATATGTCATCGCCCCTATGTCTTTAAATTTTGATAATTCCTTTCTAATCCTAGCATGCTAGAAGCATGAAGCATAACCAATTTATCCGCTTTTCCTTTTTGGATACAAAGGAAAGAAAAAAAACATGTCGATGAATTGTTTTTAGGTCTCTCGAGTCTGAATACATACTTGAGCGAAAGGAGCTCAAGTTAACATGCGAAATCCTCAACACTCTATTTCCTCAATTAATCATACACACTTTGGAGTTTAATTAATTAGCAAAAAGAATCCCACTAGAAATGAAACTTAATTAACTGAGCTATACCTATAGAGCTACATAACTAGCTAGCTAACTAAAAGTTAAGCTATAATTAAGAAACAAATGGTTTTTGAGACACTGACAAAATGTTTCTTATGTAACTAATTTCAAGTATAGCATCTGGTTGTGGACATTTCACTTGGACATGGTGAAGACTCCCACGTCAAACTCGACTTCCATGCATCTCCTCCTCCTCCTCCTATATTCAAAGGCAAAGGCAAACTATTGCTCATCATCAAGGGAAACCCAATATTGGATCTCACACTCGTCTCCCATCGTTGATCATCTGCGTCTTCTGTCACGTTCGAGTTCACATTTGAAATATTGTTCTTGATCAACCCAACAACAGTGTCATGACCATTGCCCATGTTATTATTTCCTTGCATGACCTCATGATGATGTGGCAATGTCATGGATGAGAAGCCGCCATTACATTGATCCTGTGATCCAGTGGTGGTACTAAATTCAAAATTAGTGCTCTCTGCAGAAGCCTTGTGGATGCTGTTGCTACCATTATAATCTCCAAGCATCGAAGACGACATGTTCAACAACAACGAAGACACATCCACGGCGCATTTAGCCACTGGTCCTGATGGAGTTTCTAGAGGTGATGATGAAAATGCGAAGCTAGGGGTGCTAGGAAAGTAGTCTCCATTGGAATTGGAAATGGGAAAGTACTGATAGGGTAGTTTGATGTTGCAACCCATCATCAATGGGTTCATGGCTTTGTAGGAGTTAGTGTAAATATCTAAAGGGGACATAGAACTTGTGGTGGATGAGATTTGTATGTCATTGTTGTTGTTGTTACCAGAAAATTGGGTGGCTGAATTGGTTTTTGATGTCAATGACATGCTCCCTGAACTAAACTCATGTTGGTGATGATGATGAGTAGCACTGTGTGCAGCTTTGGAGCCTAGCATATGATCATCACATGAGTTTGTTTCAGGCAAGGCAGACACCCAAGAGTGATGAGAAAGGGCTCTTTGATGAGCATGACTTGAATTTGTTTTCTTGAATATCCTGCATATTGCCCATGAATCCTGCAACAAATAGTATTATATAGTTTTATTAGTCAACAATAATACATTATATAAATATTAAATATCGAGTTCAAAAATGTTCTCTTATCAAGTAATTTGTCAAGTGAGTTATTATCTGACTGTCAAACTAAACTCTCGATATATACAAAGATAAATTTTCTTTACATACATTTGTAGGAATAGTTTTGTCCATGAATGATGATGATCTCTTTGGTGGGAGTGAGTCGGTGAGAGACGGTAAGCGAAACTCATGCATCATCCAGTCGGTTTTGACCCCTTTGGCAGCTCTGCCTTTGTAGAAAACAAGTGATTTCTTCAACCCAATGCACTTCGAGCTACATGCACCTTCGGATGAGTAGATGGGCCGGTCGGTTCCCGTGGCTTTCCAGAACCCGGCTCCAGTTACCCGATTCGGCCTTGTGCTGTTTCTGTATTTTCTGTCCCTTGGGCAGTAGAAGTACCACTCCTTCTCCCCGGAAGCTGCCAACTCTACATATATATCAAACACAGAATTTAATTAAAAACTTTAATCTGAACTGAAGCCTGTTCAAATATTAAGCTAGGTAGCTAGAAAGATGGGTATTAAACTTGTAAAGCTTGACATAGATGCAACAAACAATCTTGGATATTCTAAACAAAGATATGAAATGAAACCCTAACCTAAAAATACAGAAGAACACATATATAAGAGAGAAGAAGCTGCCAAATAAATCTGAAGTGGAATTATATTTTAGTACTCGTGCATGAACAAGATTTCTGTTTAGAAAAAAATTACTTGGAAGATCCCAGGGATCAAATTTATAGATGTCTAGTTGCTTGATGAGCTCAATAGAGAGAGGGCGCTGCTGAATCTTCCTCTTGAGATAAAACCCAACAAGCTCCTCATCAGTTGGATGAAAACGAAACCCGGGAAGCATCACTTCATCCATTTTATCTCCTCCAATAATATTCACATCACTTCTCTCATCCATACCTTAAACGTACTAGTATTCTTCTCTCTTTCTCCAAACTATTTAAAGTTACTAGATATAGATGAAACTTGAATCACTTTTAGTAAGAGCTGTACCCAGCAAAGAGAAGCTGAATAAATTAATGTTAATATTAATTACAGTGCTCTTTTATGCATATAACACCTGAAAGAAAAGCCTGAAACTGTAGTAACAAGCAAACCCTAGATATAGCTAGAAAACATGAACACACATAAACACAGAGAGAGAGAGAGAGAGAGAGAGAAGAAGGCACAGAAGTGAAGAGGTGGAGTGAAAGCAACCAATTAAGTTGGCGGTGAGGTTGGACTTAATTTGTAGGCAAAATATATGCTTCCTGAGGAGGGGTCTGCCTCCGAAGGATCAGCCACCTTTTCTGGTGACTTAAAATGAGTGTGTTTTGCGAGGATCGCGTTGGCTACTTGTGTACTACTTCGCACACACTCACATAGATATTAATACAAAGAAGCTCTTCAAATCAAAGCCTAAGATCACAACTACCAAGAAAATTAAAGCTCAAGTCAAGAAAAAGAAAATAGATTTTCCACAAGAGAAGACCCTTATTATTTCTCATTTGGACGACCTTAATGAACCCAATTTAGGGTTTGTTTTATTAATCCAAGTTGTGGAATCTCAAGGAACCACCCATGTATATATCACCAGCTTATAGTATAGGGATTATGAACACATTTTTGATTCATTATTTCTCTCAAATATTATATATTTATAATTGAAGTTTTGGTCTATCCATTGTGAATGAAGACAAAGCAAAGTTTCCAAGCTAAGTACTAGTATTTATTTAAATATGAGGGTGTTTGAATTGGTTTTTGGAAACGTGGACCTGAACCAACTTCCAACACCAAAGGCTCTCGAAAATAATATTTTTAGAATTGGGTTCCTATGAGAGGACTTACTAGGATCCCATTATTATAATTTATAATAATTATTATAAGTGATATTAGGTTCTCAGAATCCGAAAATCCCGTTTCTATTCCATTCCCAGAGCTTCTATTCCACTGACTTTGTCAGGTTGAACAGTTGTAATTATTTAAGTGTCATAATCACTCATAATCTGCAGGCTAATCAATCTGGTTAAAGTTAAATCGCCTCCAAATCTAGCTAATGGACCACTTGCTCTGGATAGAAGTTACACTTCACATACACATGTATCTTCAGTCAGAGGCTTAAAAGTTATAACACTCTCTCAAACATTAATTAATAAGTTAATTAATCAGTGCACACTCATGTTGAGTGGAACTTTCAAATTAATTATAATATTTTCAGGCTGAAGTAGGAAAAGCTACTCCGCAATGATTTCTTGGTGTTTATAGTATACAACTGTGCACCCGTGTTCCTCTCAGTTTTTTTCCTTTCTAATTTTCTGTGCGGTGCTGGTGTTTGTGTAGGTTTTCATTCTCTGCTTTATTGTTTTGCTTGTAAAGTTAAAAGTTCGTTTGTTTAGCTTTCGCTAAAACTATATAATTAAGAAAGGGAAAAATTTCTCTTTAATGGGGTGTTTTGGTCATTTAAGATATGCAAGTAAGTTAAAATTTCTCTGATTTTGTAGACTTTGGAAAACCAAGTGTGGGCGTGGGATTCCTCAATTCATTGCCTTCGGTAAAACCAAAACCGAATGAATAGGTTTCAAAAACAACGAAAGTAAAAAATTAGAGTTTGAAATGCCTTTAAATGAAAGGACCTTCTTCATAATTATATATGTGATATAATTAGCTTCGAGTCCAAATTGTCATACTATTATTATACTTGAGATTTGGCTAACAATGTCCAGGGGTTGGATAGCAAGTATTTTAATGGTTGGAGGGTTCACTGAGAGTCAAATGGTAAACTTTGGGACTAAAAAGTCAGTGAAACTCCCCAAAATCTAACCCTCGGTTGGAACCCTTTTTGTCTGTTCATTGACCTAGAATTTGCTTCCCCAAGCGTGCAACCAAAGTTTTATAAAAATAAAGGGTCAAACTCTTCAACCCCAAGCATCTATATTCTATACTATACATAATTCACCTCTTTCTATGTGAACATTATTAACCCACCCCCCCCCCTTTTCAATTTCACTCATAACTCTCTCTGCCATGTAAATTGCAAAAGGGCCAACTCCAAGGACCAAAGGATCATGAATTTTACCAACCACACTCACTTCAAACCAATTACTCGGCTGCCTAATCTTCATAATAAACTATTATTCATCTAATAATTACAATGTCCACTTACTATTTGAATTAAGGTCATTTTTTAAACTAATTTTGAATTGGCCTTAACTTGCATATCAAAAGTCTCAGGTTTGAACTCCCATGTCATCTTTGTTATGTAGTTTAGACTATCGCTTATACTAAAAAAACAAAATGGTTTTGAAACAGTTAAATTTTTTTAAATTAATGTCATAGTTGCAGAATTCCTTTAGAGTTATTTTACTTCTAGATGATTTAATTATTATACTTTTTTGTTCTTTATTTCAAACGTGTATATGAAACCAGGCAGGGGCGGATCCACAGAGGAGCAAGGGTGGTCAATTGACCCATGCAAGCTCTGAAATCCTCCATTAAAGCAGCCAAACTTGACCCTCGCAAGGTGTTCGACGAAATGCCCCAAAGGGGCAACCTGAGTGCAGCTGGAGCTTTTGCGCAGCGCGTGCGAGTCTTATTTTTTATAAGCTGGACGTCAAAACAACGTCGTTGCACTTAAGTTTTTTCTTTTAAATCTGGCCAAAACGACGTCGTTTTGGCACATGTTTATTTTTTATTTTTTATTTTAAAAAAAGGCAGCAATTGCTGCTCTGTTGTTGCCCGATAATTCCCACCCCAAATGAGTTTGAACTAATTTCACTTCTCAACTTCTCAACCCTAAATCCCCAACCCCCCAACTAAACCAACCTTCACCCAGTTCAACAGCAAAGCTCAAGAATGAGAACTTCACGTCAGGGGCCATGGCTGAGATTATACGGATAAAGTGGAGAAGAATGCCGGGATGGGAGGCCGGAAAGACTAAGACGGCAACATGTTGAGTACAAGCTTTGTGGTTCATTATTTGCATTGTGATAGTATATTGGATTTTGATTAATCGTGTTCTTTGAGTTTTTGCATGTAATTAATGGAGTTGGTGACGGTAAATATATATGTGGGAGAGAAAGAGGAAGTTAATTAGCTGCGGACAACAACGTAAATGTAACAAACATGAGGTGTTTTCATTTTTGCAGGTTTGGAAATGGGTAGTTTTATTTTATTTTATTTTTCACCTTTTAAAAATTGTTAAATTGGTTAGTTAACTACTAGAAAAACGTTTTGTGCGAGGACAATTGCTAGACTTTAGTTCCTGTTTGATTAACCAGGCTGGACATGATTATACCATTAAGTGGAAACAGATTTCCTAACAAATACTTGGGCGTGATGATTACCGTGTTTACACTATAGGAAAAATAGAACAAATTCTTTGATAATGAAATTATAATGCTACGTTTTCAGAATATGAAAATTCGTCGTGGACAATTGTAATGTGGTTTTTTTTATTAATTATGAATTATAATATTATCGTTTCATTTGTATTGGTATATTTTGTATATGTTTTTTAACCTTTAGACATTGACCCCTGGAAGGAAATTTCCTGGATCCGCCACTGAAACCAGGCCTCGGCAATTTCTATTTAATTTGTAGTACTTCGTTGAAACTTAGTCAACAACTCATAGGCTAATTAAAAGATACTCCGCTGCTTATGCTTTTCAGCCATTCTAACCCTAATGTTCATAAGTTAAGTAGTATTATATTGTCGAGAGTCCAAGAATGCAACCAAAAAAACAAAAAATGGGATAATATTGAACCCTTCACTATTATCGTCAATTCACAATATACAAATCAATGATCCACCCACCCATTTGTTTGCACCGTTCTGTGTCTCCATTGTTAAGAGCCAAAAAACAAGAAACAAAAAACCAGAGAAAACAAAATATTCTAAACTTTGGCGACTTTTAAGTAATCCTTGCAGGCCTTACAGACGCTTGTAACTTTTATGGACCCCTTAGAAAATGCTCTGTATCATCAATGAAAAAGAAACTCCAACTCCTATATCAGGTTGTCTGCAGCAATTCCTTGATATCGTACCCTTGTAGCTGTCACACAAACAACAAGCAGGATCGGTTTTATAATCCACATTGAAAACAAATCATTGTTGAGAAAGATTATACAGGGTCATAACTTCAATACTCGGAAATCATCATGTTTACCTGAAGGAAGGTCAGAAGCAATATCACTCCTGGGTTAAAAGGTTGCAAGTTTGAGCATATGACAATCCCAGAGCATACAGTACATGACATAAATTGTGCTCGGGGATATCTAAACCACATTAATGTATGTTGAAGGTGAAGTAGACTTTTGTTTTTAAATTTTTTTTTTAAGTAACCATGTTACCTAGCACAAACAGCTGGGGAAACTCTCCCGGAGTGAGATGTGCAAGTGCAAATACAGCTGCACTTATTCCAATAGCAACTGGTGTAGGTACCCTGCAAAAAGAACTTGTAAGGGCTAGAAACCCAGGAATGAACAGTTGACACCAATAACATAACTAACTATACTAAAACTAGCTAAAACCAAGGAATTTTAATCCCATCCTTAGCCAACTCAACAAAACCTCATATCAAATATTTGGATGATTCTGCTATTCTTACTACATAAGTGCCACAAAAGCAGTTTCTTCTACCATATATTTCTCAGCCTCTACACTTCTTCAGGGTTCACTCTTGTTTGTAGAATTTTGTGAATCTGGCTAATTAATTAAGCAAGGCAGTTTTAGGAGTGAACCAAACAATATCGCCTGGATGGCAGATTACTAGTTAATCCAGCCTCTACTTTCCAACAAACTAGTTTAAACTTATGAAAATTGATAACAAAATCTATGGACAGAAATTATTGAGAAAACTTTCGAAATAATGGTAAGGAAGTTTCGGGGAGCTACCATGCATGTTTAGAGCAATGTAGAGAGAAATAATCAATCATTGTAGGCATATTATGCAACTCTATAAAAGGGAAAACAAGGAAAAATACCACTTAGTCATGGAGACCATAAAAAAACCCCGAAATACAGTTTTCCCAAGAATTGGAGCCAAAACTCCAGTGATGCCTAGCAAGCAAGCAGTGCTGCCATGAAGATTAACAACAGCTGAATCAACTTGCTGAATCCTCAAGTCCTAGGGCTGAAAAGTTTCAACACCTAAGCCTATGAATACTATAATTCCCAGAACATGCACAAAAATTAAAAAACCTTGTAAATTACCTGACACTTGAAGATCCAATCAGTGGAAGCAAGCTAACTAGAGCGTCCTTCTGAAACCAAGTTAAAATTAATAAAAATCACATATATGATTCCTTACATGCTGCACTTTATAACTAGAGAGAAATCAGAGGGCTAGAATCAATTCAAACCTCACTCTCTGGGCTCTCCCCCTTGAACAAGGACGCGGCAGCCCCTGTCACTGCGATGGTAGCTATTGCACCAGCAAGACGAATCCCTGCCCACAAAAGCCACCCCTTCTGTAGACTGAAAGGGTCCTTCAAATCTGAAACAGCAATAGCTAATATTAGCTCGATGGGTCACAGTCTAGATATAGGCTTAAACAAACCAGAATCTGGCAATGATGAGCTTCCAAATCTAAACTTTGCAACTATATGGTAAAAGTCTGTCTCTACTTAATGACAAAGCATGTAGTTACAATGTCCTACTAGCCAAATTCAAATATCCCTAATTCAGTATTGTGCATCAATCGCAGTCCATATATAAATTACAACAAGTGTTATCTCATTGAGACAACTGCAAGAAAATGGGATAACAGGAACCCTTTACCACCTCTGTGTGTGTGTGTGTGTATGTGTTTGTGTCTTTGTTGTCTTACTATAAAGTAAAAAAGGAGTTTGAAAAATCAGTACCATAGCGATAAACATCTTGAGGCAGCGGTTGGAAAGTGCTGGCAACAGTATACAGAACTGCAGGCACAGCTGCAGTTGTAATACTAGCAAAACAATAACTGAACCCATTAGACCCTCATAAAATTCTCAATCCAACACACAGCATTACAAGTAGAATTACAATATGATAATACATACCCTTGATCAAGAAACAGTATCTCTGCCTTTTCATCTATACTCAAATCTTGAACTCGAAGTCCTAAATACGGTACAGCTGCTGTCTCTACCAATCCTGTCAAAATAAAACTGCCTGGGAAAAAAATTAATCTTATTCTTCTGAATTGTGAAATACCAATCCAGTATTAAACATGATTAAATGAGCATTGGCAGATTAAATACTAAGAACCCACGTCAGTCCACAAGCAAGTGATGTTAAGGACACTGTTTGCCATTCCCAGGGAACCTCCCGTCGCTTCAAAATCTGCCACTGCGCTCCAGTTTCATGCGAATTTCACCAAAAAAATGTTTACTTTTGTCCTTTTTTTTATCAGAGTCGTTTTGTTTGAGTCAACTGAGAGTTAGTTGAAGCTGAAAAGTGATAACCTTTTCTTGTAAATCGCCTTTGGGCTTTCCTCCGCCCTTGAAAAAGAAAATGTACGGCGACCTTCTGACATTTCTGAGCCTTGTAAGCTGGGTTGATTGGCGTGGAGAAAACCGGCGTTAAAGCTTTTGTGGGCGTTGAGAAAAAGGCCATGACTTTGGTATTTGGAGTAACTTAGCTTGGGTGAGTCCGAGAAACTTGAAAATGAAGAATGAGCTAGAGATGTGAACAGGGCGTAAACCATAACATATGTGCATTTTTGTCCTCCCAATCCAGTAAAATTCCTCCAATTTTATCCGTAAAGTATAATCCCATCATAATCCTATTATGTGCATCTGTTCAGGATAATTTATCCTATCAAAAAGGTGGGATACATAATTCCACTACTCCAACTGTTTTGACCTTTGGATCCAAGATCCGAGAGCTGCAACATAAACCAGGGCTAGTGCCAATAAATGATATTTATCATTTCCAATACAATGCAATCCTACCTCCAAATTCAATCCAATCCTAATCACCAAACATGGCCAATGGTTCCTTCCTTACTTCCTTCACCTCCTCCTCATCAAACAGTTTTAAAACCAACCCTGTCACGAATATCATATCGTTGTTGTGTGTACACGTGTTGCGCGTTGTTGGCCGATGGTTACTTCTTCTTTTTCTTCTTCTTTGCTTTGTTCACAAGTTGTGTTTCGTCTTGTGCTTTGTTGACATAGACTGATGGGTGGTTGGTGGTAATTCAGAGCTAAGGTTGTGGACTGTGAAGGTTGTGATTTTTAATATGTTTAATTTTCAAATCTTGTTCTTCGCATCAAACTTTTATGACTGCAGCTTGGGGTTTAGACCAAATCTTCTACTTCATTCTTCAAATATGCAAAAGAAACTAAATAAATAAATTTCCAGCTGCAATGCTAAACTTAAGCTAAACAAGCTTTTCTCTTTAAGCAATTTGCGGGCATAAATAAAATATAGTTACTTGGTTCATAATTGTTTAAGTCGTGACACATAAAACAAACAGTTCCAATTATATGATGTTTATATATATATATATAAAGCTGGAAGTCTTAAAAGTGAAATATTCAAAATCCCCACTATTGCCCTTGATTAATGAAAATACTAAACATAAGACACTTTATTAAATAGGGATAAAACAGTACATTCACACTGTATTTAAATTTAAATAAATAAAAAATGAAAATGCAAAAACCTCAGTTTAAAAAAAAACCCAATTGGCACACAGTAATAAATAAAGCAAAAACCATCCTAACTTGTCAAGGCAACGTTCAATGAATAGTAAGATGATTTAGAGGCTAGACTATCATAGTCCATTAAAAGGTGGCATAACCCAAATAGCTCTCTGAGTATTGGTTTTCACTGAGTAATGTTGTGTGATGGTTCCGTCTTCCAAGTTGAAGATCCCCATATCATTTGCTTCATCACCATCTGACAAAGGAGAAGTTGATAGGAAATCATCGGCGTAATATATGGAATTTGGCTGACATCCAGGAAAGTTTGAAGCCAAAACAGAGATTGACTGATTGTCTCCCACGAACAGAGCCTCATCTCCAATGCTTTTTACCTCAACCTTGTGCGCAGTAGAACCTCCATCTTCTTCATCGTTCAACACCCACTTGTAAACCGCAAATCCCAGAGTCTGTCTATTACGAAACCTATAAGCACCCTCCTTTGGCACATAATATCTTAGTATATGCAACAAGTCTCCTTGAGTTGATTCCACAAGATACGCATGAAAACAATAAGACCAGAATGGCTTTCGAGGTGTGAGTAGCTTTATCGATGGTGGTTGTGAAGGGTTATTACTATCACTACCATAAACATCCAATGACCCAATAGCTCCAAGTGCTGTAACTGCATACAGTTGGCTTTTATAGAATATAACATCACCATATGAAATTGCAGCAGGGTTGACGTAGGTCCAAGAGTTTTGGCCTGCCTTGATGAAAGCCAACTCAAACCAACAACGGTAAAGTGCTACAACCACATAATTCTCCGGTTTCAGAGTGGGGTCAGCGGACAAGATAACCTTAGGAACATAATGCTCATAGTAGGATGAATCATAAGGTGCAACATGGGCATTCAAGGGAGGGAGATAAATGGGATTTGCTTTTGTGAAAGGGTTCCTGAGTGTTACGGTCACTACACCTTGGTCTGTTGGATCAACTGTGGCAAACCAGCCATGGCAAGAGCCACTACACCTCCTCCTAAAAGGAACTTGCAGTTGAATATTGTTGTAGATTCTTCCTTCAGAAATGCTGTACAATACTCTTCGGTCGCTGTCTTTGTCCTGGTTCGGGATCAAGAGCATGGGGAGAAGTTGTTTGTTGTGCCACCGCTGCGTTGCCTGATTATAGAGTTTGGACATAGAACGCCATTTCTTGCAGACGGCAGCAAAACGGACATGATCAATGGGTTCTAATAACTTATCCAGAATCAAAAACACAAGTGCTGGATAACTTGCCCATTCCCCATTGCTGAAGCTGACAGCCGTGGTCCTACGACGATGACAGGGGTTCTTATCAAACTTATAAGTGGACATAAAATGAATTCTTTGCTATGAAACTTTAATTTTGAATTTGAAACACAAGGAAAAGGCAAAACCAGAACAGAGAAGAACAAAGAAAGAAACTGCAGCAGGGTATAATTGTATGCTTGTGATGCAGAGAAGAGTGCTTTGATAGATAGTAGTTGATGATGAGGAGAAGTGAAGTGAACTCTTTATATAAATAAACAAATCTCCTTTAAGAATAAGGAAACCATTTTCCAACATCAACAAGGAAAAGGCATTGAAAACAAATCTCCGTTAAGAATAAGGAAACCATTTTCCAACGTCAACAAGGAAAAGGCATTGAAAACAAATCTCCTTTAAGAATACGGAAACCATTTTCCAACATCAACAAGGAAATCCTAATAAGAATTAAAGTAATTAATTAAAAGCTTATCGGTTTTTTTCTTAAACGAAACAATTAGGAAATCCCTTCCTCTAGTGTCTAGACTAGATGCTAGCGAAAATTAATCGCCTTTAAGTTCAAAAGTTGAAAATTAATCGCCTTCATCAATCAACCAATCCATATTAATTAACATCCAAACTTTTAAATTGAATAGAGATTGGTTGATTAATCTTAATTAGAGTGAAATCCAAATAAATAAATAAAAAGGATAAATTTTGAAAACTAACTTACCTCCATGAAATCGACGAGCTTTCTGCGACTTTTGAGATGCTGCATCGACGTAATGGAGCAGCACCGGGTCTTGTTGCTCCGCTACCGATAGACTCATTGGATCCGTACCCAACCTCAACCTCCCTCATCAGTGGGTCTTGTCCGCCGATGCCTGCCTGCCCGCAGTTGCAGTTTTTGTGCCTGCTTAACTTATGTTATGGCGGGCGTAAAGTCTTCTCCGCGTCGTGTTGGGTGAAGCTGAATGCGGCCCAACCCAACCTAATTTTGTGTCTTTGCTTTTGTTGATTTTGATTTTTGATTTTTTTTTTGTTTTGAATTTTTAAAATTTTGTTTATTACAAAACCCAACTAAAATTTCAAAATTTTGGGCTTCAAAATTCACAAATGGCCCAATTTCATGCAAAAGGGAGGTGAACTTTTTGTAAAGAAACACATGTATTAAATGTGAAGAATACGTATGTATGTTTATAATACGTGTATTACTGTTTGATTTTTAAAAGCGTGTATTTTACTGAATTTTAAGAAGTGTACCGAAAACGAAAGTATTTTTGAAAAATACATACATACGTATATAATACGAGTATTAAACAGGGAAATGCTAACCAACTACTCACAATGCATCTCCACTTCTTCCTCTTAAATTCCCCCCGCCCACCCCCCTCCTCTTGTATTTTACTTAATGACGACTTGAAACCGTTATTTCTCACAACAAATGCAAACACACAAAATTGAGTTTTCGTTTACACTAGTAATGTAAATGTAATGTCCTCATTCAAACATGTCTGCTCTGCATCACGTAGTCATTAAAATGTAATCTAATCGATCACCTCCCATACCAAAAACAAATGCACAAACAAAAGCTGAAAAATAAGGAAACAAAAAACACAGGCACACAGAACAGAAGCATCAAATTAACCTAAACCATTAATTACTATAACAAAACAATCATTAATCAAGTAACATAACAGGTATAGCTTTTGCTAATCCTGGAAAGGAAAGAATATTAATTAACAAAAGAAAGTTAAGGCAAGGCATGAAAATAATAAAATTTGAAATTGTCTGCCTGCCTGCTTTGCCCTCACTATGATATGAATATGAATGAACCTGAACCTGAACCTGAACCTTCAGGAACGTAGTATATATATATATATATGATCTTATATAAAGGCCATTGATCCGGGTCTTTAAATCAAATCTAGTTTAAAATAGAAAATTTTGTGTGCTTGAAGAGACTCGAACATTGACCCTCAAAGGAGGAAAGGAAAAACTAATCTTTACTTACTGATAACAAAATGCCTGCCAGTGCCAATAACACGCACAACTTGGGTTGGGAGAGGAGTATTTATTTGGGTCTGAACTGAGCTGAATGGTAATTTCTTCACTACTAAACTAAAACTATGACTATCCTCCACAAGCCAATTTGTCCACCTGTCCTGTATCAATCATCAGGAACATTAAATTATTTCCCTCTCCTTTGAATCTGATGATAATTTTGCCATTGTTTGCTCATCCACAAACATTACAAAACAAACAAACGTATTTCTTGGAATATTTCACTCATCTGTAGGTGTAGCATATGAAGATACATTACATATAGTTTCTTTTCTTCTAGCTAATGACTTTCCTTAATGAACATTTCTTTATGCTTTTGTTTTCAACATGCTGACTATTTGCTAGTCGTTTCAATTCAATCCTTCTATTCTATGCTCTGAATTCACAAATCGGATCGGTCGCCATAACATAAGCGACCGGTCTCTTCTTTCCAATTGTTCGCTGTCAAATGTGAATTCTTCAACACTGTTGAAGTTCTTGTTGTAATTAAATTTCCTTCTTCAGATATTCTGCATGTCTCATCTCATGATATATAGATATAAAGTAATCATCTTTGGGGCATTAGGCAGTTCGATGCGTTCATTTTTT